AAAAAAAAAAAAAAGAGTGACCCCTTGTGTGTCAGCCTCTAGTTGGCTAAATCATTCCTTTCTCACATGCCTGAAATGTGGAGTTCATGGAATAAGTTCCTCTAAGGTAACCCAAGGGAATACAATTAAACTGTGGACTTCACAGCTGATGACTGAGATAATTGGGTCTGGGGGCATACTGCCTGGGTTTAAGCCTCAGGTGTGAAGTACTTTCTCATTGTTTGACCTTGAGAGAGTTATTTAACCTTTTTGTAGAATGAGGATGATACTAATGGCCCTATAATAATCTACACCTTCAGAGGGTTGCTGGGGATTAAATGAATCAATTCATTCAAAGTCCTTCAAATGGGGCCAGACACAGGGAACTGCTGCTGTGGTGACTGTGGTGGTGGTGACTATTAGGAAGCACCTGCAGTTCAGGTGGTGCTATACTCCTCATGTGTCCTGTTTCCACAGGTGCGTCTCTGGACATGCCTTCTTTTACACAGGGGAGCGTTGCCAGGCAATGCAAGTGCACGGCAGCATCCTGGGGCTGATGATCGGAGGCACAGCCGGCTCAATCTTCTTGACCTTCACCATCCTCTCCATCCTTTCTCAAAAGCTAAGGCCCACACCCAGCTGCTGACCTTAGCTGGCTGTAGGAGCACCTCCTCCCTCAGACTTTCACTTCCTGTGGTCAGTGCAATCTGGGGAGGGTTTTACAAGCTTTGCTTTGACTGGGTTCTCTGAGGACAAAGTCCTCTAGACTCATTTGTGATCAATAGTCTTCTGCCTTCACCCCCTTGGGGTTCTGTCACCCTGAGAAGTACCCCTAAAGTATCTAGTGTGACAGCACTGCTCACACATATTTGTAAATTACTTGTTTAATTGACTGTCATTCTCATAGACTGTAAGTTCTATGCTGGCAGGGACATGTTATCCTTATTTGCAATGCTAGCCCAATTGCCTAGAACCTTGTCTGGATGGCACATTGTGGGCAATAAATTAAGTCAATAATCTTTGAGTGGATGAATTCCTAAATTCTCTCATTTCTACTGAAGATTAAGATATATGTGTTAAAATCTGTATGTTGCTCATATTAGAATCAAATATCCCTTTTCCACTGAGACATAATGGTGTTATTGCTCTTTTAAAGTCTTGTGTGTTAGAAGATTTTAGGTGATGCTTCCTCCTAGCCACAGAGCTTCATAGTATTCCTTTCTTCCTCCTCTGATTCTAAAGAAAGGAATGTGCAACATTAGATGTGAGTACGTGTGTGTACATGAGGGAGAGAGGCTATTATCTTTTCTAGCTTTAAAGTATCTTTTATATTTTATTACTGTATATAATTATTATCTCAACTACTGAAGGTATCAGGCAGAACAGAATTTTAAAGACATATTTTAAACATGCTTAAAGGATCAAATGGGCACTACTCTTTCTTTCCACAGTTCCTGATGGCTTGAAATCTAGCTGGGGACAGAAAGTTCCAAGACAGATCAAGGAAAAGGAAAGCTGAAGTACCCATGCCTAATCAGCAGAAGCCCAGCCAAAAAAAAAAAAAAAAAGTTTCAAGAAACTTGACTAGGCCAGACTTTAAGTTACCCAAAGCAAAACTAAACCCATCACCACCGAATCAATTCAGACTCATAGTGACTCTATAGGACAGAGTAGAATGGCCCCCGCAGGTTTTAAATCTTTACAGAAGCAGACTGCCTCATCTTTCTCTTGAGTTTAGGTTACCAGACTTCCTGAATATATAAAAAATATTGCCTTCAAATCAACTCCAACTCATGACAACTTCATGTGTGTCAGAGTAGAACTGAACTCCTTAGGGTTTTCAATGGCTGATTATTCAGAATAGGTCACCAGGCCTTTCATCTGAGTTGTCATTGGGTGGACTTGAAACTCTGACTTTTCAGTTAACAGCTGAGTATGTTAACTGTTTGCACCACCCAAGGATTCCTCTTAAAGACATACTTTAGGATTCTGAGGAGTTAAAATGCTCTGGAAACAAACATAAAGGCTTAAGAAATGTCCCTTTAATTCCACAAGGAGCCCTGGTGGTGCAATGGTTAAGAGCTTGGCTGCTAACGATGTGAGAAGTTTGAAGCAGTTGAAAACAGTGACTCTATAGAGCAGTGACTCTAAAACAGGAGTGTGTGTCAGAATCACCTTGAAGGCTTGTCAAACCTCAGACTGCTGGGCCCACCCCCAGAATTCCTGATATGGTAGGTCTGGGGTGGAGCCTAAGAATTTGGATTTGTAACATGTTTCCTGGTGATGCTGATGCTGCTGGTTAAGGGAATTTTCTTTGAAAACCACTGCTTTAGTGATTAGAGAAGGAACTCTAGTGTTGTGGTTAAGGCATCTGGCTACTAACCACAAACGTCAGTGGTTAGAACCCACCAGCCGCTCTGTGGAAGATAGATGAGGCAGTCTGCTTTTGTCAAGATTTATAGCCTTGCAAACCCAATGGGGGTCACTGTGAGTCAGAATCCAAATGGCAGTGAGTTTGGTTTAGCTTAGTATAATTAGAGAAAAAGTTTGGAAGTCTGGTGTTCCGGCTGCATATTTGGAATAACCATCTAACTATATGTATATTTCCAGTGAAATCACTTAAGATTCTCATCTGTCAAGTGGATTTACTAGCTGCCTAACCCCTCCCACACTACCTTATCACCTACAGGGTTGTAGAGTAACAGAACGGGATAATGGGCATAAACACATTTTGTAGAGTTAAATATGTATGCTGCTAGATGGGAAATTACCAGCCCATTCTCATATCTGCGGCCAACATTAGAAATAAAAATCAGTTTTGTTTCTCAGTGTGCTTCACCATCCTGTAAACCCACAACAGACTTTAAAATTAAGTCTGGAGAAGGACCTTGCCTCAACCGTCTGCTAAGTGGTCTTGCCTCATAAGTGAGATCCAGGTGTGGTGTTGGTAGTGGTTCTTTTCCTTTTCTTTTATTACAAGGAAGTGCACCCTGGGCCAAGCCTTGGTTAGACCTGGCCCAGCTCAGAGCAAGAAGTCCAATCCCAAACTAAGGGCAAAATTTCTTATACGCATGGGTTGAGTCTACAAAAGTCAGTCCCTGAATTTCCACAGTAACCTAGTGTCTTGATCTAGTACTATAAATTAACCACCACTTGTCTGTGAAAAAGAAGCCTGGTGGCACACTTGTTAAGTGCTCAGCTTTTAACCTAAGGGTTGAAGGTTCAAACTCACTACCTGCTCCACAGGAGAAAGATGTGGCAGTCTGCTTCTGCAAAGATTTACAGCCTTGAAAACTTTTTGGGGTAGTTCTACTCTATGCTGCAGGGTCACTGTGTGTTGATATCAATTCGATGGCAGTGGGTTTGTTTGGTTTGGTGAGAGGATAGTGAGACTTCATCTCACATACTTTTCACATCTTATTGGAAGGGACCAGTCCCTGGAGAAGGACATCATGCTTAGTAAAGCTGAGTCAGTGAAAAAGAGGAAGACCCTCAAGATGGATTGACACAGTGGCTGCAAGAATCGGCTCAAGCATAGCCACAATTGTAAAGATGGCACAGGACCAGGCAGTATTTTGTTCTCTTGTATGTAGGGTTGGTATGAGTCAGAACCAACTGCACAGCTAACAACAACAACAACTTAAACTTCTAGGTCAAAACAATGAAAAGGAGGTGCCAGGTTGAGAATGAAACATTTTGTAATTTCTCTGTTGATTCTCAGCTCTAGTACCAACCCAGTATTCTGTTAAGTCATTAAGTAAGGATCTGGCTTATCATAGATCAGATGTTGTATTTAGCTCTTCTTTTAATCCAAAGACTTCCTGAGTGGCATACGTGGTTAATACTCCTGGCTACTAACCAAAATGTTGGAGGTTTGAGTCTACCCAGAAGCACCTTGGAAGAAAGGCCTGGCAATCTGCATCCAAAAAATCAATGAATGAAAACCCTACGGAACACAGTTCTACTCTGATACACATGAGGTTGCCATGAGTCAGAGTCAATTCAATGGCAACTGATTTTGTTCTGAGCCCAAAGCCTTTCATCATTCCAGGAAGATTCTGACATAATTTAGTCTTTTGAGATATAACTGTTTGAATGGCAATGGAGAAGTGGCCTGTGTGATGGGACAGTGTGGTAGTTGTGTGTCAGTTTAGCTGGGCCTGGGTTTCAGTGGCTGGACAGCTGGATGTAGTTATTCCCCATGATGAGACTGGTAATTAGCTCCGTGGTTAGAATCTATTGGAGCAGCTAAGTAGCTGCCTTAGGGATGTGGTCTGCTTCCAGTACATAAGGAGAAGAGTTGAGAAAGGTCTTTGCAGCTTTTTGGCATGTTTAGGACATTGCATATAGCCAAATCTTCATTCAGCAACCCGCCATGTTTCCTGCCCATCTTGGGACTGTCTCCGGACTTGAACTAGTAGTGCGCTATGTTGTTTGGTAATCTTGGGACTGTGCCATTTTATTTGTTGACCTTAGCCTCAGTAGTCAGCAGCTGCCTGAGTTAAGAGAAGCCTCCAGCTTCAGTGGGCCAGGAGCAAGAGGCAAAGCTGAAGCCCAAGGGCAAGAGGCTTTCACCCAGTCCCTAGAGCCAACACTTTAAACTTGGATTTCTAGTCTTCTAAACTGTAAGAGAATAAACTACTGTTTGTTAAAACCACCCATCTATGGTATCTTCTGTTAGAGTGGCCTAGAAAACCAAAACAGATGGCTTGCAGAAATAAGCATTTTGTCATCTCCAGACAGTGTGGGATTCAGGGTTTAGATGAGCAACATGAAAAAGTGTAAATCCTCTCAGCATTTGGGTTTTTGTCTTGGTCTTACACAGTGGGAATGAGTCAGAGTAGCTTAACCACAACCGAACCAAAGCCTTTGCTGTAGAGTTGATTCCAACTCATAGTGACCCTATAGCAACCCTGGAGTAGCTTTGACGTCTGGAAATGTCTCATACTTCCCCACTTACTCCATCCTTTATCCTCATTCTGGCTCATTTCCTCCTGTGAATTGATCTGAGCCAAGGTGGCCATTCACAAATGGGAGTTTCTTTAAGTGATATCTGGTAATATTGTGAGCCTCTGATAATTAGAAGTGGGTGAGAATTATGATCTCCTCCCCTACAGTGTTGGATGAGTTTATCTATAGATATTTATGTGCTAGGGAAATAAACTGCTATAAGCCACTGGTATTTGGATCTTTGTGACTCACAGAAAATATAACTGATACACAAGGTTTCTGCAAGGTTGACATATGACTTAAGCTATGCCAGTCATGATGTCCTAATGCATGCACACACACACACACACACACACACACGGGAAAGAGGAGTTCCTCTTCCTTTTGGATCTCAATATATGGGTCTGTAAGCATCATCGATTTCTTCCCTTCTCTTTCTGCCCTCTGTCTAGCAATGAAATAAACACAGAGAGGGAAATAGAACTACAAAAGGAAGAGAGTGAACTCTGAGAATATTCTGTGGCATCCTGAATCCAGCTGTACCTGAAGGTGTTTCAATCTAGCACCTTTTGCAGTTATATGTGCTAATAAATACATGTTTTTACCTAAAGTATTTTAAGTTGTGGTTCTGTTACTTGCAAGTGGGAAAGCCTTGGAAAGCCTTAACTAACACCACTTCTATAGCATATTATATAT